AAACGCCAAAAACACACCAAGGAGATTAGGTGAAGTTGTAGTTGTACGTGTCGCCCTTGTTGCATGAAAAATTCTTCTTACTTTTGCGATTTTTGCTAAATTTTTCGCGGGCCTTCTTTGCCTTTTTTTGTTCCTACTCTTGCGACATTTGTTAGCGCGTCTTGCCTTTTGGAAGTAAGAATTCTTGTTACTTTTGTGATTTTTGCTAAGTTAGCCGACTTCTTCAAGGCCTTCTTTGCCTTTTTTTTTAAGTCTTTACTTTTGCCTAAAATTGTTTTTCTTCAGATCTTTGCTAACGTGTCTTTCTGGTTGCCATATAAATATTTACTCTTGTTAAATTTGCTTTGCCAGTCAGTGTCTGACAGCACTTTACTATGAAGCATTTTTTGCTGAAATATGCGATCAATGTTGCCAGCAATGTTTTGGTATTGAGTTAAATCCTGGAGTGAAAGCCTGTTAAGTTGAAAAACAGTAATTGAAAGACGTCAACGGTCATGTTGATTCTAAAGAGTCTAATAAATACCTCTTATTAGCCGAGTTTTCGGTCCGTAATTTAAATTACGGACCGAGTTTTTTTCCGTCGATTTATTCGCGTTTGGGCCGTAAATCGATGGAAAAAAAAACGAGGATCCGTAATTTACAGTACGGACCGAAAAAACGAGGCTAATAAGATGTTTATTATATGGCTTCTTCCTGTTTGGGGACCGGAAACAAGTGCAGGACGCACGATTTGACAGGTGTCAAAAAAGGGAGTTTTTATTGGCGCACGAAAACAATAGCACATAACAAAGGCTTTCCGAGAAAGTAAAAACAAATTCGCCATGTTAAAAAAGTTTATTCGGCCAAAACTAAGAGCACTGTAAGTGTTAGCTCTTTAATGTAACGCCGGAGTATTTTGGAAACCGGACACTGTGTCTGTCTAGAAGTCGTTTCCATCTTTCATCCGTTTGTCCTTTTTAAAAAACACTGCATTTCCGTTTCTTCGAAAAGTTCCATTCAAACAACAGTAACAGCTTCCTAAGCGAGCAATTAACAAAAACCCTTTTGGAGAGAAAGACCCAGTTCATTCTCGTCTTCAGTTCAAATTTTCAAACACTGAATATAATTCTCTTCCTCGGTAAGGTTACGATTCAGTTTCTACCACAGCTTCGTTGTTATTAAAACAAAGCTATGTTAAAATTTGGAAAGGCAAAGTCAACATCCCAGTCCTCAGGGTTTACATACATATTCAAAGTTTATTCGGTGGAAACTAAGAGCACTGTAAGTATTCACTCGTTAATGTGACGCTGGAGTCTCTTGAAAACTGGACATTATTGTGTCTGGCTCGAACTCGCTTCTATCTTTCTTTCCTTGGTTTTTGAAAAAACACTGCAAATGGCAAAGAGGCTTGTCAAGTTGATCGGGTGCAGGTATCATATTTGTTGAAGGAATTACTCATTTTCTCTTAGGCAAAACGTCTCGAATCTCTGCCCGTCGATTTTCGTCTTCTTAACTGTGTACTACGATAAAATTTTCAAACACTGACTAGAATCCTCGTCGATAAGATTACTAGGTAGTTTTTCCATCACCTTCGTTCACAGATAAACACAGTTTAAAATGTTGAAAGCCAAAGTCAACATCCAAGTCCTCAAGGTTGACAGGCGTCTTATAACTTTATTTCAACATTTTTTCCGAGGTAAAGAGATTTAGACCTCCGAAATGAGCATTTGCTTTAAAAATTTTGGTCCGTATAGCAAGTTACGGACCGCAAATTGACCAATCGCATGGCGAAAACAGACTCAGCCATATAATAATAAGCTTTATTTATTCATCTTTAAAAAATATATACAATGGATTTACATAATTAAAGTGAAAAAACATATACTATGAAATGCTATTAAGTATTCTAATAGAAAAAAAAGTAAGTGAAAATATACAGTGCTTTAAACGAATAGTATGTCTTCGTTCCTGACTTTGGTATTGCTACTGAACCTGGTTTGGATCCTAAATTATAGCCGTGGCTAGTATTTGGCTTAGTGAGAAAAATTTGATTTGGGTGGTTAATATCATTCACAATTCTTTCTCATTCTCGCTTTGTCGCTACGTTGCACCTGTCTTCTAACGTTGAAAGGGGTGTTCTTGGTATCCCGATGATATCTAGGCACCTGTTTTGTATAGACTGCAACTCTTCTGCAAGGTACTTCGGCAAACTGCCCCACACTGGGGAGGCATATTCGAGAAGTGGGCGTATTTTGGTACAATATATCGTGATGCCGATCTGTGTAGGTAGATTTGCTTTCCGACATTCCCTCAAAAAATATAATCTCTTGCTGGCATTCTTTATTGTCTGTTCGACATGGTAATTCCAACGTAGGTTTGTCTTGTTGTTACCCCCAGAAGCTTAAACTTGGATACCCTCTCCAACCATTAGTCATTTGTTCCTAAAAAATCTGGCTCAACAGAGTTTTTGCAGAAGGAGATCCACATATCCTTGGTTTTGTTTGAGTTCAATAGCATGTTTTGCCCAGTTTTGAAGGCCGTCAAGTACCTTTTGCATGGTTGATAATTCGCCATTCGCCAGAGAAAGCATGTTGATTTTCTTTGACTCTGGAGGCATCCTTGTTTAGCGTTATTTGTACCCTCTCAAGGACTTTGCCTAGAACAGGTAAAACTGATATCTGCCTGAAGTCTGTTTCAAAGTCTTCGGGCGGGTGGACTTTTGGAACAGGACTAACAAGGGCATGCTTGTATAAGGTCGGGTACTTCCTTTCAAGAATACTTGCGCAGATGATATCCTGGACCACGACTGCCAGTTCTTCAGCAAACCTCTTTAAAGTGTTCAAACAAAAGTGTTGCACCTCTTTAAGGTGCAACACAAAAGTATTTTGCAACTGTTGTGCTTTGATGGATAATAATAGTGCCATTCATAACCGCTCATGCTACTTAATAAAACAACTGAGATAGTACGTTCTAATTGGTCTAAATCCAATCGTTTATTATAACTGCAATCTTATTAAAAACGGCATTCAAACCACAAAACCAGCTGTTGAGCTGCAAACACAATTTTAGACAAGCACAAAAACAGAACAATAGGCCATTTGGACTAGGAGGTCATGTGACATTTTTATGAAGATGAAAATTATATGATTTTGCCTTTAAAAAACCATCAGTGGGTCATATTTTACACAAAATAATAGTGATTTAGTTTTTCAAACCCGTACCATTTTCTTAAAATAAGTAAGTCCGTAGCTGGTCACGTTACCCAAAATTGATTTTTAAAACTATGAATTACCTCTTTCTCAACAGACATTTTGCACTTAAACTTCAAGGAAGTTGAGGAAAAGATGATGTGGTAACGTTTTCAGCACATCTGAGCGTAACTATCAAACGTTTAACAAGATACAAACAAAAAGTAGTTTTGGCCGCCATGTCGGAAGGCAAGAGTATGCCCTCTAAAATGGAGGTCTATACAAATCTTACTACTTTGTTGAAAAATCAAAGTGCCAAAAAATATGTCCCTTAAATGCGTTTCCTCTCAAATTTCGGGTGTAAGATAATTTTTATGCGCTCCGTCAATTTTTGGCATCAGCGAGATTCCAACTCATTGTTTAAAGGAAGCATTGGTCACGTGACCTCCTAGTGCAAGTGGCCTATTTACTCACCTGGCCCGTCTCTCTTTTAAATCGCGTTGGTTTTCACATTTTTTTTTTACCGAGTTTCACTTGACATTCTGTTAAGCATGGATAAACAGAGGGTCACACTGCTGGTACTTCTCGACCTAAGTGCGGCCTTTGACACTGTCAACCACCAGGTGTTTCTCAAGTGATTAGAATCTAGCTTTGGAATATCTGGGACTTGACTTTGCTGTGTTAAATCATACCTCGATAGAAGACCTCAGCGCATCTGTGTTGCAGGCTGCTGCTCTAAGAAGTTTGGTCTACCCCATGGTGTCCCTCAAGGTTCATGCCTTGGCCCTCTATTGTTTACATTTTACGTTTTAATTAGTCAAGGCTCACCTTCCAGATGTGCACGCCTACACCAGACGATACTCACACAAAACCGAGGTCATTCTATTTGGTACTCAGCAACGACTTGATGAAGTGAATATTGCACACCTACAGACTGGTCAAGCATCAGTACTAATTGTAACCTCTGCCGTCCGCAACCTTGGTTTGTGGTTTGACGTTAACTCTAAGATGACAGAACAGATTAACAATACTTGTCAATCAGTCTACTATCAGCTGCATTATATCAGACAAATAAGGAAGTTTTTGAGACTTGCCTCCACCAAATTGCTTGTACAAGGAGTGATCATTGCACGCATTGATTATTGCAATGGTCTTCTCATGGTGTACCTGCTGTGCATCTTTCCAAATTGCAACGTCTTCAGAATTCCTCAGCACGAATTATCACCCATACACCCAGATACTGTCATATTACCCCAGTGCCGCTTGCACTGCATTGGTTACCAGTGAGGTTCCCAATTTGCTGTAAAATCGCTGTGATCTCTTTCAAGGCTATTCACAATCTGGGGCCTGAGTATTTAAGTAATCTCGTAAGTATTAAACGATATTCTCGCTATAAGCTGCAGAGTAATGTGGGTGTTATTCTGCATGACCCTACCACTAAATGCAAATGCACTCTTGGGGACAGATCATTTGCTGCAGCTGCTCCAAAGATATGGAACGGTTTACTGGACTATATTAAGAAAGAATGATTTTGATAAGTTTAAGAGACTCATTGAGATGCACTATTTTAAAGGGGCCTATAGCGACCTGTCTTATCGTAGGTTACCACCTCAGTTTCATCCTTTGAGATTTCTGGGGATCATCGTTTCTTGTCAAGTATGCATTCAGCCCTATGGTAGTGGTTTTAAAGTGACAATTCAAGCTGGACAAGGCCGCGTCCTGCAGATGTTCGTGGAAGGTAGAGCCTGTCAACATCTGATTTGGGATGATGCATTTTTTAAGTGGTCAGCATCTTTCTTGTTTTAGCATCCATTCTTCTTGTATCGATGTTACAACAGGAATAGCTAAGGTGTTGATGGCTTCAAATTTGTTAGCTGCGTTAAGTTCCGTCTTCAATACCATACGTACTCTTCTGTAATATTCTTTCCTTATCTTCTCCTTCATGGCTGAGTGTTGAATACCATCTCCTTCATTGTCACATAGGTACTTGTATGTGCTTTCTTGCTCAAGCTCGTCGATTACGTGTCCTCATCAAGATGCAGATCTGTGGTTTTGGTCAGTCTCCCTTTCTTAAAAGTGCCTTTTGCACACTTGTCGAGACCAAATTCCATCTTGATATCGTCGCTGAAAGTCTTAACGATTGTTAGTAGAGCCGATTGTTGATTGTCGTCCTTAGCAAATGTTTTGAGATCATCCATAAAAAAGGGTGGTTCAATTTGCCATTTTGTGACTCGTAACCATAGCGATTATTGTTTTGTAAGTTGCTTAAAGGCACTAGAGCAAGACAAAAAAGTAGTGGTGATAACGAATCCCCTTGGAAGATCCCACTTCTTATTTGTACTGGTCTTGATTTTAGTGTTCCGGCTGGGTGTAAAAGAATAAGGGTTGCCTTCCATACCCTCATGCTTACAGTAACAAATTTGATTGTTGTGGGGCAGATTCTATAGATCTCGAGGCACTTCTTTATGCAGGAGTGGGGAACATTATCAGAGGCCTTTTTGTAGTCTATCCAGGCTTTGGATAAGTTCTTCCTCTTCGATTTAGCCTGTTCCAATATGTCTTTATTGATGAGAAGCTGGTCTTTACTTCCGTAGCTTCCCTTTCTACTTCTTCTTCTATAGGGATGTATGTTATTATTACTATTATTTATTATTGCTTAGTGTTTATTATTATTATTATTATGATGATGATGATGATGATGATTATTATTATTATTATTATTATTATACACAAATCATTCGTTAATATCCATGCCACAACCTTCAAACCATCTGGCTTTATAAGTAAAGTACTAACCCTAATATCTGGTTATCGTACATGTAAATTTTCAGCTAACACATGCTGTCGTTCGCTGTACGTACATACATGAGACAACTTCGCAAATGCTGCCACGTCGTTACTGCAGCAGTTGTTGATTATGAAAGAGTCCAAACAACACGAAATTTCTGATTGACTTAACAAAACACAGTTGCGAACAGTTTGGTAATCAATCTTCTATTTCTGTGTTAAACAAACCATGAACGTATTCTTTCAGTGCACATTTTTTTTACAAGTTATAAATGTGTGTTTATTTTTCTTGTAAAACAGCTTACACATTAGTTCTCAATGAGTTTTGTGTCATGTTTGATGGAACTGACTTAAGAGAAAGTTCGGTACCAGGTTATTTCGGCGCTATTAAATCGTGAGTTATGATTAGCTTATGAGGACTTTAGTGTCGGAGAAGACGCGAGTTGATTAAAAAAAAGCATTTTTGCATAAGGACTCCGTTTTACTAAGAGTTATTTTATAAAAGCAATATACCACTCTTACTGTGGGTTTACCTGCTTGATTACCCAGCTGGGATGTTGGGAACACTCCAACAGCTTGTAAGTCACTTTCGCTTAAATTGTGGCTTTAGATAACTAGTCCCCCATCCCTGGTGAAGAAGTTACATTACAATTGCTTTACTTGCAGTACAGCAAACCATAGCTCTTGACAAGAACCATTGTTTACCTTACACTTCTGTAACGAAAACATGAACTTGGTGTTGGTGATCTGTTTTTGTATTGTTAATCTTATAATTTTGTGTGTGTTATTGTTGTTGTTGTTGTTGTAGAGGTGTGACAAGTGGAGTTGTTCGTAGGAAAAATTAAGTCTTACGCACTTTTTCAAAGGAGTCTGATTTTTTTTACTTTTGGTTGGTTGAGGAAAAGTAATTCGATCATAAATCATCTCTATTTTAATGATTTATTGGTATCTATCTTCTTTACATTGCAGTTATAAAAAGACCGAGTGACACTGAATACTGAAATTGTGCAGTTACCATTTGTTTTGGATGACAGTACGTAAGTACTGGGAAAACTCTTGTATGAAATTTACTTTTTTGGCTTAATATTGTAATGGCCATGTATTTGCTAGGTATTCCTAAAAGCTCATTTTAATAGTTACACCATAAAGGCAATAGCTGTGGTCACACTACAGACTTTTTACCTAGGTAAACACGACTTGTTGACAGTTTACCTAGGGAAACTTGATTTTTTAAGTGTGACCGATTTTTCCCTAAGTATCTTACCTCGGGGAAATTTTATCGTCTGGGTCTTGGATATGTCTCGAAAACAATAGAGTTTCCCTTGACAGCTACCCCAAAGCAATAGCTAGGGGAAAATGACATACCGAGATTGCTAGCCAAAAGACACTCATCGACGAAGGTCTTGATGACAGAACCGGACATAGATCACGCTGTGAAAGAAATTTTGGGAGCAAGAGTCATCTACGTCTTCGCCTTTCTTCACCTTGCACGTTGAATTAGCGTAAGAAATAACAGCGAGATAAAAGAAAAAAACGTCTCTTTGATCAGCTAGATCCCTGCGCATTTTGCGTTCTTGAATTTACACTCCAAAAAATTCAACTGGCGTGAAAACTTTGGGAGCCGATATCAGTAGTGTGACCTTCCCAGAATTTTTACCTAGGTAAAACAAAACCCGAGATGAATTTACCTAGGCAGATTTTTGATGAATTTGCCCTAGGTAAATCGGTTTTACCTAGGGAAAAGTCTGTAGTGTGACCACAGCTAATGTAATTCTAATTTATACTACATGTGTGTGATTTTCACGAGACCTCTGACATAAACACTTTTTCTTGACTAATATTTCTTATTTAACAAATTTCGTATCCGTTACACAAAATTTTTGGTCTTAGATATTTAAAACACGAGCAGCAGTGGTCAATGTTTGCGAGAGAATTTTAACCGGTGAGAAAACACGTGCTGTGAGTGTTTTGAAAAGCTTTCATGTGCATAGGATTGCTAAATAATGCATTTCTCTTTATGAAACGTGTTGATTGAAAAATGTCAAAGAAAAGCGACCAAAATAACAGGTTGGTCAGATAGTATGCAAATACAATATGCAACTAAAATGAGGACAAAGTTCAAGCGTCTACCTGCCTTTACAATACGGTTATCGCAATGAAAGAAATTTCCATAGTTAATAATCGTACAAGGAGAAAAAATTACCCAAGGAAAGTGTTGCGAAAGCTTACTGCAACGCGACATAACGGTCACTAGAACGTTTTAAGGAACTGCATACTAGTAAGTATTGTTTGTGACCCCTTTATGCACCTGTCAATGTAAAGCCAGGGGGAAGGCGGGTCATAGAGTAGGAATTTGGTTGTTTTGTTGGCCCTAGGGTTGGGCATTTGACTGACAGCGTCCTCAATGCAACACCTGCTGTCACATAATTTCCGTCGCTGAGATACGAGGCCCTAAATCTACCTTTTCCATCCGTGACCATTTCACTTGTCAGTCCTAGAATATTTTATATTGCATATCCTGCCGCCTATGCCCAGTTCTTGGTGATCGTGGAAGAAACCTCCGGAGTCATGTCAGCGAACATCTGCGAAGTATACGCAACAACACGTCTGGGTTTCCTGTGGCCCAACATTTCAACTCCACTGGCCATAGTATTTCTGATGTCCAGGTGCGTGGTGTGGCGTTATGCAGTGGTACTAACATTCATGAAGAGCAAAGTGACATGCAGTTGATTTTTCAACTTGGCACCATTCAGCCGAAAATACTGAATATTTAATTCAGTTTTGTTTGAACTGGGACATTATATACATCTTGCACGCACTATTACACGCGCGCGTTCTGCGATCATTTTTATGTCCGTGGCATTGCGTAACATTTGACACTTTTTGATATTCTTTACCACATATCACCTCATCAGCTATTAAGGTTATGTAATACGTACGTTTTGGAATTTACGACAGTGGTGTACAGGACGAAAATGTTTTGACACTCTTGTCGTATTTCAACGAAAGAAGGCTTACCTTCACCCACTTAGCTGTTGGAGGCTCTGTGGCGATCAGGGTCGGAATTTAGTTATAACTACACCAGTCATAGAGGAATACATCGGGGACTTGCTCGAAACCGGCCCTCTACCAGTGTACAAGACCAAGACTGTACTATAGAATTTGGAGGAAGAAGAATTTAATAACAGAAAGCTAAGAAACAATCCAAAGCTCCAGGTGAGAACTGTTAGTTCTAGTTCGGATGCTCTAACCACTGAGCTGTTGGAGGTTCTATGTCGATCAGGGTCGGAATTTAGTTATAACTACACCAGTCATAGAGGACTGCACCGGGGACTTGCTCGAAATTCGGAGCTCTTGGTGAGAATCGATCTCACGACCCTCCGTACTGATTTTATAAGTCTGTCTTATTCCCATCTGTTAGCCATGACAGATCTAAGATCCTCTAACTCGAAAGACCGGTGTCACATTCTAGTTGGCCAATAAATGTTGTTGCTGGGCGCCCTCTTGAGCGTCTGCCGATGGCGATATATCATCTAGCAAATAAGTCCACTCCAACGAAATCGTGGAATCTAGCTCCCAATCAAGACAGTCTCTCCTTTGTTTCTTTGGCGATGCAGCAACGTTAACGAAGTTTTATTTAGAGGTGTTTTACTTGTGCCTATTTTGGGTCCAGCCTTGGGACATTTAACAGCAATGTACAGCCCGGGGTGGGGAGATTTTGTGCATTTGACAGGAATGATTTGCCCGTGAGCAGGGAAGTTGACTGCAAATTTTTGAAAAATGTCCAATTTCCAGCCCATGCCCTGCCTCCCCCCCCCGCCAGCTTTACAGTGGTAGGTGCAAACGCGACCTTATTGTTGTCTCGGTAACATTTGTATCTTGAAATGAATTAGTTTTGTGTTTTTTCAGATAGGAAACTTCTTATTTCATTGTACAATACGTTTTGACCGGTTCCACAGTTTTTCGTTTGTTTTAGGATGAACATTTTTTATTGCTTTGATAGTTATTTGTTAAAGGTCCTTTCAGACGATGACAATTCGTGGTCTATTGGACAATATGCTTGCTGAATATTGAAAAGGTTTTGAGGAGACTTAAAAATTCACCGCAAAAAATCTTGTTCCATGCTATAGATCATCAGGAAAAAAAAGACATCTGGGGGTAGGACTTAGACTTTTCTGTGGAGAAATTATTTGCTAGCGTTTTCTGTTTGCAGGATTTTCTGTTTCAAAAAGGAAGCCTGAATAATTTTTCGGGATTCGAACCCTGGCCTCTGCGATACCGGTGCAGCGCTCTAATCAGTTCTGCTAGTAGGCCAATTGGGGTATGGTAATATACTTGGGAAAGATGGAAATGTTATAATGAATAAACGAATTTCGTG